AGCTTACCTTAAAAAGTAGTTATTAAAATACTGTTTGTTTTTTTACTTGGAACTTGGTCACCAACTAACTGTACAATAGAGGAATATGAAACTTTCAATTCACTAAGCAAGTTTTTAATATTAACTTAGACTTCCAAGTTAATAAAGGAAAGCAAGAAGAAAGGACTAACCATCATTCTTAAGAGGACAGAATATATGGCTGTCAGTAAGAAGGACAGCTCAAGCAGGAAGCTATGAATTGGAGCTATAAGAACCAAGCAAGTAAAGAAATTTAAATATATGGGAAGTGGAATAACAGACGGTAGAAAAACATGACACAGAAATCTGAAGGCACATTGGAATAGAAAAAGGTTCCTTCTAAAAACTAAACAAAGTATTAAGAAACAAGAACATTTGGTTAGAAACCAAGAAAAATATTCTCCTGTATAACAGTGAATGCTGAACAAGTTCTTCACAAATGAAGAAGAGAATTGAAGCAACAGAGATGTGTTTCTCCAGAGGGATACTGAGAATACTATGGATGGAACTTGTGAGCAACAGGGAAGTTTTATGGAAAATGGAAGCAAAAGGGACATTTATGCCTAGAATCAGAAAAGTACAGTTAAAACTCTATGGGACACCTAAGAGGAAAAGTGGTCTTGGAGAATTTGATACACACAGGACACATTGATGGCAAGAAGAGCAGGAGGAAACAGTGATTAATATATTTAAGGAGGTGGTTGGAGGAATAGTAAAAAAGACAAATATTGCTTAGTGCATCAAAGTATAGCTATGATCGTACATGTTATGAAGATACATAGCATATAAAAGAAGAAAGAAAAAACTTAATCCGGCAAACATCTACAAACATAAGGATTGAACTTTTTATCTTGTTCTAATAAAGTCTCTTCCTTGGTACCTTGACCACATGAACTTAAGCATACTACTAGATTGGCAAATTGGTACCATTGCTGTACTGTTGAAAAAAGTAAATGTCCTATTCTAATCATTTCTTTTCTTACACTTCTCACCTGTGAAATTCTCTCCCAATTTCTTGGTACCCCTGCCACCCAGGTTCTTCAAAAATTTAAATGCCATGTCACTCATCATCTTCTGTCTTCCTGAACCCTGTTCTTTTATTGTCCTTCTCCTTACTTTTTCTCATTCTCTCTCAGTCCCAGTAAGCCCTTGCATCTTAATGGCATTGTGGTGAAAAGATTAAAAAATGTAGTAATGATTTGCTTGACTTGCTTACTAACTACTTTTCTATAGCATGCTACCCTCTTTGTTGCTGATCTTCAAAATATATATCAATCAAAATAAAGATAAATTTTATTTACCATGATATAATCTATCTATCTATCTATCTATCTATCTATCTATCTATCATATAGACCACAGTTGTGATCATTATGTCATTATTAACTCCACAATCCTGAGAGCTGCAGAGTATATGTTTCATAAATGCTACATATGATCTTAAATGCAGAGGTTTTCTTCTCCTAGACTGGTTGCCAAACAAAACTAGATAGCTCAGTCTGCTCTGCTATTTAACCCATAGCTAGGAGAAGAAGAGATGTAGTTATGCTTTTCCTAAAGGTATTTGGACAAAATGAATGAATGAACTATAATTTGAACTTGACTTGAAGAGATGCCAGCTGATTTCTCATCTTGAGCCACTAACTTTTCCAGCTGAATCTTGAGCCACTGATGCCAGCTATTTGATGCCAGCTGATTTCATCTTGAGCCACTAACCATGATGCCAGCTGATTTCTCATCAAAACCATGAATGTTGAAGCTGATTTCATCTTGAGCCACTGATGCCAGCTGATTTCTCATCTTGAGCCACTAACCATGACATCTTGAGCCACTAACCATGATGCCAGCTGATTTCTCATCTTGAGCCACTAACCATGATGCCAGCTGATTTCTCATCTTGAGCCACTAACCATGATGCCAGCTGATTTCTCATCTTGAGCCACTAACCATGATGCCAGCTGATTTCTCATCTTGAGCCACTGAACCATGATGCCAGCTGATGCCAGCTTTGATTTCTCATCTTGAGCCACTAACCATGATGCCAGCTGATTTCTCATCTTGATGCCAGCTAACCATGATGATGCCAGCTGATTTCTCATCTTGAGCCACTAACCATGATGCCAGCTGATTTTTCATCTTGAGCCACTAACCATGATGCCAGCCAGCTGATTTCTCATCTTGAGCCACTAACCATGATGCCAGCTGATTTCTCTTGATCTGATGCCAGCTGATTTCTCATCTTGAGCCACCATGATGCCAGCTGATTTCATGATTTCCAGCTGATTTCTCATCTTGATCTTGAGCCACTAACCATGATGCCAGCTGATTTCTCATCTTGAGCCACTAACCATGATGCCACTAATCCATGATGCCAGCTGATTTCTCATCTTGAGCCACTAACCATGATGCCAGCTGATTTTCTCATCTTGAGCCATCTTGAACTAACCATGATGCCAGCTGATTTCTCATCTTGCCAGCCATCTTGAACCATGATGCCAGCTGATTTCTCATCTTGAGCCACTAACTAACCATGATGCCAGCTGATTTCTCATCTTGAGCCACTAACCATGATGCCAGCTGATTTCTCATCTTGAGCCACTAACCATGATGCCAGCTGATTTCTCATCTTGAGCCACTAACCATGATGCCAGCTGATTTCTCATCTTGAGCCACTAACCATGATGCCAGCTGATTTCTCAACTTGATGCCAGCTGAACCATGATGCCAGCTGATTTCATCTTGAGCCACTAACCATGATTTTTCTCATCTTGAGCCACTAACCATGATGCCAGCTGATTTCTCATCTTGAGCCACCACAACCATGATAATCTTGAGCCACAACCATGATGCCAGCTGATTTCTCATCTTGAGCCACTAACCATGATGCCAGCTGATTTCTCATCTTGAGCCACTAACCATGATGCCAGCTGATTTCTCATCTTGAGCCACTAACCATGATGCCAGCTGATTTCTCATCTTGAGCCACTAACTTGAGCCATCTTGAGCCAACCATCTTGATGATGCCAGCTGATTTCTCATCTTGAGCCACTAACCATGATGCCAGCTGATTTCTCATCTTGAGCCACTAACCATGATGCCAGCTGATTTCTCATCTTGAGCCACTAACCATGATGCCAGCTGATTTCTCATCTTGAGCCACTAACCATGATGCCAGCTGATTTCTCATCTTGAGCCACTAACCATGATGCCAGCTGATTTCTCATCTTGAGCCACTAACCATGATGCCAGCTGATTTCTCATCTTGAGCCACTAACCATGATGCCAGCATTTCTCATCTTGCTGCCATTTGCCAGCTGATTTCATCTTGAGCCACTAACCATGATGCCAGCTGATTTCTCATCTTGAGCCACTAACCATGATGCCAGCTGATTTCTCATCTTGAGCCACTAACCATGATGCCAGCTGATTTCTCATCTTGAGCCACTAACCATGATGATGCCAGCTGATTTCTCATCTTGAGCCACTAACCATGATGCCAGCTGCCTTGAGCCACTAACCATGAGCTTTCTCATCTTGAGCCACTTTGCCAGCTCATCTTGAGCCAGCTGAACTTGAGCCACATGATGCCAGCTGATTTCTCATCTTGAGCCACTAACCATGATGCCAGCTGATTTCTCATCTTTTCTCATCTTGAGCCACTAACCATGATGCCAGCTGAATCTTGAGCCACCATGATGCCATCTTGAGCCACTAACCATGATGCCAGCTGATTTCTCTTGAGCTTGATGCCAGCTGATTTCATCTTGAGCCACTAACCATGATGCCAGCTGATTTCTCAACCATGATGCCAGCTGATTTCTCATCTTGAGCCACTAACCATGATGCCAGCTGATTTCATCTTGATGATGCCAGCTGATTTCTCATCTTGATTTCTCATCTTGAGCCAGCCATGATGCCAGCTAACCATGATGCCAGCTGATTTCTCATCTTGCCAGCCACTTGAACCATGATGCCAGCTGATTTCTCATCTTGAGCCACTAACCATGATGCCAGCTGATTTCTGATCTTGAGCCACCAACCATGATTTTCTCATCTTGAGCCACTAACCATGATGCCAACCATGATGCCAGCTGAGAGCCACTGATGCCAGCTTTTCATCTTGAGCCACTTGCCAGCTGATTTCATCTTGAGCCACCAACCATGATGCCAGCTGATTTCTCATCTTGAGCCACTAACCAGCCAGCCACTAACCATGATGCCAGCTGATTTCTCATCTTGAGCCACTAACCATGCCAGCTGATTTCTCTCATCTTGAGCAGATGCCAGCTGATTTCATCATCTGAGCCATGATGCCAGCTGATTTCTCTTGAGCCACTAACTATGATGCCAGCTGATTTCCAGCTATTTCTCATCTTGAGCCACTAACCATGATGCCAGCTGATTTCATCTTGAGCCACTAACCATGATGCCAGCTGATTTCTCATCTTGAGCCACTAACCATGCCAGCTGATTTCTCATCTTGAGCCACTAACCATGATGCCATTTCTCATCTTGAGCCACTAACCATGATGCTGATTTCTCATAACCATTGCCAGCCACTAAACCATGATGCCAGCTGATTTCCTTGATGATGAGCCACTAACCATGATGCAGCCTCAAATATGATGCCAGCTAGCTAAAGATAATTATAACAGTTTGAATGAACTAATTTCCAGAATTGATTCAAAATTGTTTTGGGTCAAATTACCATGGAAAAACTAATAGAATAATCGGTATAGGTAATCTAATGTAACAGTAATAAAATTTGCAGTTGGGTTTTGTTGGTGGACTGCATAAAAACAAATTCTGGACGGTTCTATTCCAGCAGTACTTTCAGAGAAATATCACCACCTCCCCTTCTTACCCCTCTAATTTATCATATGGTAATTAATAATGTAAGGAAAAAAAGGAAGTGAGAAAAAGAAAATTTGAAAGAATAGATGTGCCAAGTTTAAGTGATTAATTTTGTGCCTCTTTAAGTTTCATGAATGTAACAAAAAAGTAAAAGAAAAAGGAGAAAGTGATTTAAGGAGAGGAAATGGTGAGAGAAAAATAAAGGGCCTAAGAGGACAGTTGAGTAAAAAGTAAGAAGAAGAAAGAAAAGAGAGAAAAAGGAGAAGGTAAAAAACAATATTGCCATGAATCATAGAAGGGAGTATAGAGAAAAGAAAGAGAAAGAAAATGAAGACAAAAAAAAAGAGAACAAGCCTAAAAACTTAAATGAAATAAAAAAGAAGAAAGTATACCGGTGGGAGGGGTGATGAAGAAGTAAAAGAAGGATAATACAAGCCGAGGAAAGAATGAAGATGAAGAAGAATGTGGAAAGTGTAAAATTGGTGGAAAAAGAGGAATGAAGAAGATAGAAAAATGGTAGAAGAAGACAAAGAAGAAAAATGTGGAAGATAGAAAAGTGGGAGGAGGAGAAGGAGAAGAAGAAGAAGAAGAAGAAGAAGAAGAAGAAGAAGAAGAAGAAGCAAACAAACAAACAAATGGGAGAAGAAGGAGAAGGGGAGAAGAAGAAGAAGGAAAGAAAAATGGGCGAAGGAGAAGAAGATGAAGAGAATAATGAGGAAGATAGAAAAATGGAAGAAGAAAGTGTAATATATAAACATGAAAGAAGAAGCATGTGGAAGACAGAAAAAGAGTAGAAGATAGAAAAATTGAAGAAGGATGTTGAAGATGGGAAAATGGGGGAAGAAGAAGAAGATAAAAAAGTGGGCAAAAAAGAAATGTGAAAGAAGAAGAAGAAAAATATGGAAGATAGAAAATGGAATAAGAACACGAATATGGAAGATAGGAAAATAGTGAAGAAGTAGAAAAAGAATGTGGCAGATAGAAAAATGGAAGAGAAAGAATGTGAAAGAAAGAAAAAATGGTGGAAGTGTAAGGTGAAGAAAAAGAAGAAAACTGTGAAAGATAGAAAAATGAGGAAGAAGAAAGAGAAAAATATGGAAGATAGGAAAATGGTGGGAGAAGAAGAAATTATTTTTCCACTTGATACCACTTTCTGGTGATCCAAGATGTGTATCATCCTGATTAAATTTAAATTGATTTAGATCATTTATTTTTGAGCCATATCTTCTGTAATAGTCACAAAAATTGATCCCTGGGGCCTACTTGGCTCACTTGAACGAGATGAAAAATTTTCGAAACAAAATCAACTAAATGTGGTCAAAATATGTCGGATAAACACTAGCGCTGATCAGTTCTGCTAATTAAGCCAGGTCTCCAGGGGAAAGGGGAAAACGAGCCTGCTTAATTATTAAAACATTTCAGATGACTTGAAAACAAATGAGCTGAACATGGCCGACAACATGAAGTAGCTCTTGTTTATATATATTTTATTAATACATAAATTCAATAAAAATAATGTACCATGTACATTGGATAAAGTGTGTATATAATATTTGCACTTCTTGTTTTATTTTATTTCTTGGTTGCGCTTTTGATTCTCAGTTTTCTTTTGAAGAAATAACAAAATTGAATTTATCTACTCATTGTAAAATAGGGGAGTCAATAAGAAAATGAAATGCTAATAGCAACAAAAACATTTGATAAGGATATGCAAGCACTGTGCAGGTAGTGTAATGGTTAGCACCTCTGAATAAGTAATCAGGGAGTTAAGATCAAATTCCATTCTAGTTTGTTACATTCACCTTTGCACAAATACCATAAAAAAAGGTATCAATTCATTTCTTCTATACCCCCAGCTATGGATTAAATAGAAGGTATATTGGGCTCTCTAGCTATGGTTGGTATCAAGTCTAGGGGAAGGCACAACTCTAAGTTCAAAACTACATCTAGCCCTGGTGAGGACCATACTATATAGACAGTTAAGGGATTGTGGAGTTTATAATTAACTATGGTGGACAGTTGTTGATGAAGTCCATATTGATTCATTGATTTGTTTTTTACAGTTTATAAACCCTTTGTGGGTTATTTAAAGGAAAACACATTTTGTATTTTAAGAAAAATTATGTTTTTGGCAAGTGAATAGTGCTTTATAAATTATTTTTAGAATACCAATATTTTTTTTTACAAACCCTAGAATTTAAAACATAAATGGCAAGATGTGGGGATATGAATTTATACCTTATCCAAGGTTATTTGTATGTAAGTAAATGTAATAAACCTGACTGGAATTCAAATTTGACTTTTTAATTTCTTATTCCAAGGCTGAAGTAAGTACACCCAATATTACATATATACGACTGGTGCTTTTAGTAAATTCTCTATTAAAAATAAATTTTTAGCCTGGATACAGATCTAGCAAACTGTTTTATATATATTACATCACAATACAGATCAACACACAAGAAAGTATATGTTTTATTGATTTTTATTAAGAAAAAAAATGTAAGTTTTATATACCCCTACACCACCCCTTCTTATGCAGGACACTAGGGGTTGGGGGAAAATATTGAATATAAATTTTTATTTTTAAATTCAAGTTTCTGAATATCAGCTATGAAACTTTTTGGTTTTTGTTATATTCTGTGCTAAGGGAATAAACGCATAACACTAAGTGGATACTAGAAGAAAGGTTTATTGTACACAAGTACAATATGAAATACGGTACAGTTATACACAGAGGTCAATCTAGTAGTGAGTGCCACTAACTGAAAGGTCAGACATCGTCTCGCTCTCACCTCCTCTCCAAGTCTCTCATAGACAGTAGTCTTTATAGGAACTTACTACCTATAGTGTAATCATTCATGGGTGTGACAGGTTATTCCATTACATCCTTCTTCAATTAAAACTGAATGGTGATGAGATATTTTCCTCTCTCACTATTAACTTGAAAAAGTCAAGTTTAGATGTTACTGTGAATTAAAAACAAATATTGTTTAGAACTTAAACTAAGCTAACTAGAGATGGAGCCAACTCAATAAAATCACTGTGGTAAAGGCAACATGAAACCACTCCACTTGTCAATCCCAAGAAAATTCACAACTCCCAACAGCATTATTATAAATGATAATAGCATGAAGAGGGACTAAGACTAACAAAACTATGAAGAACAACTGCTTTAAGGGGATCAAATTACTTGGAATTGATCCTTCATCCAGTAAGGGAAGACATGAGCAAAGGTATCACCTGACCATCATCCAGTGATTGTTTACATGAAGCAGGAAGTGAACAGGTTAAATGTTAATATAAATATTTTAGGCAAGTGTGAAAATAGATGGGCAAACAATGAAGATTTCTTCAGGGGAAAACACAGGGTCATGTATGCAGGCAGAGAGAAAAATGAGAGGGAAGTCGGATTTATATTTTTATGATGAAATGTGTTATGGGATACTATCAACTATCTGATAGGCCATCCTGGGTATGATGATAAACTGCATTTGTGTCCAGAGAAATATGATAAACTATGTCCAACAGCAAGGCTTCTGATCAGGAGGCATTGAGTAGCATGGAACCACCTCTTAATTGCTGGTGTTCCCAGGTCCACCCTGACCCGGGGTGGTAGCACCTGTTAGTGTCCCAGCTATGCGCAAATAGTTAACCCCAAAACTGAGCTAAAACACATTATAAAAGTGTAAAAATAGGTTTTGATACCAGAAATACTTTGTAAAAAAATTATTTCCAGAAATAAATTTTTGAAGGAAAAAACTATTACCAGCAATATGTTTTTGGAAATAATATTACCAGCTATACAATTTTGAGGAAAAAAATATTAACAGAAATAGATTTTTGACAAAACAAAAATATTACCAGGGAAAAAAATTTGTCGGCATTAAATGACCCATTGAGGTTTATATGCAGTAAACCAAACCAAACCAAACCAAACTACCTGATAGAATTCTAGTAGTTAAATTGAAATAGAAGCATTTTAAACCCTTCCCCTTTGTAGATGTGTATATATATATTTACTGAAAGTGTCATTTTCAGACACGGACAAATAAACACATCCAAAATATAATGTTCAAAAACCAGCTACAGATGTGTTTATACATCGATCTTGATTCTTTTTATGCCTTTTGAGCTTGAAAATAATCCAATTGTCAACTCATACATCTGGTAGAAGTGTTAGCCACTGCTTTGGTACATCAAGGTACCTCATTTTCTTAGTTACTAAAAAAAAACATTCATCTGAAAATGAAAAGTTTTTTCCAAAATAATTGGAAAGGAAGGGGTTAACATATTCATCATAGTTCTACATTAGTATGCAAAAGTTTTGGAAAACTGCATCAAATGATTATAGACCTTTATCTTAAGAAGTTAAGAATTTTTAGCAATGGAGAAGCTAACTAGGGATGGTGTCTCAATAAAATCACCACGGAGAAGGCAATAGAAAACAATTCCACTATAAATCCCAAGAATATTCATGATTCTTTATGATGATGGCATATATATATATATATATATATATATATATATATATATATATATACAGTTGTAGAGTGGATAAATGAAATGGCCAAATATAAGCAGTCGATACGTGTGTGCAGGTGTGCATATATAGCTTAAAATAACCATATTTTAAATCAATTAATTTATAATATTAATGCTCTGTAAATTTACATTGAGCACTATTTTGTAAAAATAAAAAATATCTATAAGAACACCGGATTTTATATCTTACTGTTCTTTCTTTTTATTTATATATATATATATATATATATATATATATATATATATATATATAAAATTAATTATATAATTAAGAAAGAAACAACCTTAAGGTTCCATGATTATAATTTATATCCGCAGAAAATATATTTTTCCAGGTTCATCAGGTCACATCTCTAGTTACATATTACATAATATAACATTATATTGCATATAATCATCTCTAGTTATATATATATATATATATATATATATATATATATATATATATATATGTGTGTGTGTGTGTGTGCATATATATGCATCTGAAATCTATTCTTACATGGTTGGTGACTCAACTGGCACCGATACTCAAATTTCTTGTAAGTTAGCAACACTGAATAAGAACTATCAAAGAGCAGAAGAACTTTTGAGTTAACAGCCAGCTAACTAGAGCTGGTATCTCGGTAAAATCACCATGGTGAAGGCAATTGAAAACCATTCCACTATAAATCCAAAGAATATTCATAATTCTTGACAATATTATTATGAAAGATCATGGTGTGAAGGGGGTTAAGTCTTATGCCTAGTAAGGAGGGATATTTGCAATTGGTGTCATCTGACCATCATCTAGTAACTGTGAACAAAATTATAAAGAACAATGACATAAAGGGAATCAGACTTCTTGAAATTGATGCCACGCCCAGTAAGGGAAGACATGAGTGACAGGTGTCACTGGATCATCATCCAGCGACTGTTCTCATCAAACAAAAAATAGTTTTAGTGACATGGAATGTCAGAACACTAAATCAATGTAACCAGTTAGAGAATATAAAGCAGGAAATGAATAGGTTAAATGTTAATATTTTAAGCATATGCAAGGCTAGATGCAAACAATGCAAATACAGTGTCATGTATGCAAGCAGAGAGAAAAATGAGATGGAATTAGGACTTATATTAGACCAAGACATAAAGAAATGTGTTCTTAGATACAATCAACTATATGATAAAATTCTTGCAGTCAAACTGAAAGGGAAGCCTTTTAACATATCCATCATAGTTGTATATGTGCTGATAGCACAAAGTATGGAAGAAGACATTGAAATATTTTACTGTACACTAGACAGCACCAAGGTCCAATGCAAATTGCAAGAAATTACAATCATCGTGGGAGATCTAGATGCAAAAGTAGGTACAGAGATGGTGAAATAGTTGGCAAATTTGGGCTAGGAATCTGTTGTAATGGAATGTCCCACACTCCCTATTGCCTATGTGGACTGACTATATCAGTAGCTATCTTTAGTGAGCACAGGATATACCTGGGGGCTGGCTTCGGGAATTACTAGCCTGCCACTCGATTCCCTGTTTTCAGTAGTGTATTCTCTTTTACAATAAACTTCTCTTTCTTTCATCTATGTGCATGTTGCTGTTCCTTCATTTGAGTACCACCTTTGTCTGTTTGCAACCTCTTTAAGG